AGAACGATCGGTGAAAGGATAAATAGAGATTCAAATGTTTTTATCAATTCACTATTAAATGGACATGTTCAAAGAATGTGGGAATTAGAAAACATCTCAGATATATTTTTTGCAAAAACCGATAGCCGAAAGCCGAAATCTGCTCTAACAAGCACATATTATCAATAGCTGTCGGTTAATTGAATGAAAAATTGATTTGGCACATCAATTCACTCCTTTTTGATCAATTCACTATTAAATCGACATATTGAAAGAATGTGGTCATTAGAGAACATCTTAAATATTTTTTGAAATCTAAATTAACAGAAAGTCCAAATATTTTTAAAGAAAGATAAACAGAACAGACAACAATCTGTTTTAAACAATCTGAGACGATTATTTCTTAGGAAAAACACCATAAACGGAACTTTTACCCTGTGGACCTAATAAAAACTATTGCAGTAAGTAACATAGAAAAACACAATGAAATACACAGCAGAATATGATGAACTTCTGTGTATTTTATTGTGTTTCTCTATGCTAATGTTCAATATGATCGTTTGCATTTGCAAATATTTGATACAAATTATTTTTATCTTGAAGTGAATTCTGTCCGCATTTCAGCAATTGTTTACTTTGTATTTTTTTTCTCAATGTACTTGTATTCGTTAGATTTTCTACCAATCAGTTACGATATTTTATAGAATCTGCATCTCACAAAAATTATTTGAAAAATTTCGTATTCAATTTGGTACCTCTTAATGATATAAAATTCCTATTTTCTTGAAGCATTGTGATTTTGTACAAATACTTAATTTTTTTTTCATACAAATATAATTTACAATTGCCCCTTAGCTGAAAGTTAAGGTTATTTATTAACTTACCTAACTGTATGCGCACTAAACCATTTCAAAATTACTAACTTTCAACCTATTGAAAATATTTTTAAGACATTTGAATGAAAACTAAATTTATTTATTTCAGAAATTCCCACTCTTTAGAACTGTTTCCCAAGTCCATCTGAATAGTACCTCGAACATGAAGTTAATTAATCGAATTAGAGTATTTGCCATTTTAGTTTAGTGTGACTGATGAAATAGTAGCAAAATGTCAGACAACCCATTTCTCATGTTTCTAATTCGCTCATAAATAATCAAACAACTAATAGCATGCACTAATTTCATTATTTAGTGCTTCGATTAAGAACGATTTTAGAGGCTAGAACAAGGTAAGGCACTTTTTATACCTTATGCAACGTAGATTTTAATAGACAAAGTTTTGTTATACTGATCGGTGTATTTTCACTTTCAATGCTCTGTGCTGTTCAGTTTCTATCATAAATATCAAGTTTCTAATCAATACATAGAATACTTATGTAAGAATTTCGTATAATTACTTTCAAATGGCACTCAGTTCAATCATGTAACGATTAATTTTTTTGCTCGCTACATTCCCAATTACTATTCCTTGAAAGGTATTGTTGGATAATTATTCAAAATTAATCCACGATTAGTAATGTACCTACAATATTTTTTTTTAATTGAAGATGTTTCACATATTATACCTGATATCATTTATTATATAACACTTCCCTTAGAGACTATAAATAATTGTGTGATATTTCTAATGTGATTTATTCTGGTTTCATCTTTCAGCTAGATATGATTTCCCAACTCGAACAAGTTAAAGCTGAATAACAATTGAATACAATTTTTCCAGCAAGAACTCGCAGTTTTATTTTCATGCTTTACAAGCAATTCGACCTGTATTTTTTTCGCCTGTGAAAACAGGCGAAAAATTGATAAATTGGAACAGCGCAATCGTTTTTTACATTTTAAAATGGACTCGAAATCTCAACGGTACCATTTTAATGCTATCTACCTTTTAATATGTGGTTTAAAAAAATGGGCTAACCGATGAGACTGAACTACTTAGAGAAATAATTGTGGTACTTCGGAAATCTACTAAAATTTGGTGGATTTCCCACATAAAAGGAAAATCAAACAATGTTTTTCTTTTGAGCATTTTGAGCATGACAAGCTGATATTCTCAATTCCAGGGTAAAAATGCATGAAAGCTGGTACAAGGTCTATTTGAAAATCTCTTGAAAAGTTTTAATTAATATATTTAATTAATTATATAATTAATAATAATAATAGATTTTAATTCAAAATAACTGATAGTATTTCGGATTCAATTAGTCTACTCATTAATAATGATTAATAGACATTATTTTAACCATAATTTTATTACGTTTGTTTTATCAACATAAATAAGAATTTTGGAATAAAAATAAAGTAAGATGTGCAATTAAAGTTCTACTGTATAGGAAATTATAGCAAAACGTATTAAAAAGTATTGCAATGTTCTTGAAAACGCAATTTATATAATTGCGTTCATCAGAAGGTACTTATATAATTATTTTAAAATATAGTTATCTCTAGATATACGTTTTGAAATAATCAATAATTAAACATTATATAACAGATATACATACATAAATTTATACTTGTACTTGACTGAATAATGTTTTATTACCAAAGTGAAACTGACTCAGGGAAAGTTGATTATTACACTTTTGCGTAAATTTTTTAGCTTTTCAAAACACATATCACCAAACTTATAAAGTTTTCCTAACAAAGAGTGTTATTTTTATTTCACGACGTTTTGCGGAATTTGCTGACAATAATTTTTTTGAAATACAAACTATTCTGTGAAAGTAATGAACTTTTTATTGTGTGTAGATTTGTTTAAGAGGCAAGTTATTTAAGATTAAGTTGTTATATTTTCGTAGCAATAAAATAAAAGCGTATATTTCAATATTTATATTTTCAATTTTAAAATTTTCAAATATGCCAGAAATAATGAATGGAAAATAAATAATTATATAATTTAAATCTTAATTGAATCCAAATTCATTCGGCTAAGACGTTTTGAGGATTTAACAATATTTAATTTTATGTAAAAGTAGTTGAATTTTTCCTGTAATACATCATGCATGTTATACAACCATTAATCGAACAAAATTACTAACTGATTACCTCATTTGAAATGTTAGCGTCGTCAGCCTGAGAAAGATAGTTACGGTGGGTACCTATGACATTTCGTGAACAGGTATTTTAAATGTAAAAGTGCACTACCTTGAAAGAAAAACAAGAAGTTGTCGATAAATATGGGGCTACAAATAGCGATTCGTCAGGTAGACAATTTTTTATGTGCATTTAATCGAAGGACATCGTTCGTATAATATCCTTGTTTTGCTCATCTAATTTAATTTTTTTTTTAAGTCAACAACACCCCAACTATTCCTTATAGTATTTTTTGTTTCTTCAGCTTCCACTTTTATTTAAGTAATTACCATTTCAATAGATTTTGTTTTGCTTAATCTCACAAAATATCAGATATATTTCAATGTCAATTGTAAAGGTCTACAAGTGCTACGAAATAATAAGGAACGGTTACACCCAGTAACTACTTCAAGCTATTGTTAAAGCTATTACGTAGATTTCTATTATCGTTTATCGGCCTACATTATGAATTTTTATTTCTGAAGAATTGATATTTAGTGTGCATACATTTTTTTGCTTGATTAGGACCTTTATTTTGTTAAGTTCAGATAGTTTTGCGCAATCAGAATCTATGATAAACAATCAAATTACTTTAAAGTTTATGCAATGAGGACTAAAAGTACGTAAATTATGTGTAATTTTAGCACCAAATAAACCAAACAATATTTAACAGAGGATTTGATTTTTAAGAGATAATAAAATATCACGTTTGATTCTAATAATTTCTTAAATTCATCAATTTGAATACTTTACATTTTATATTACAGAAACTATTTAGTAAAGTTTGTGTTTTATGAAATAAAAATGTAGTTGCCATTGATAAAAATCTGTGAGTTCATACTTCCTAAACAATCACACTTAATTTATTTACAAAATTGTATAGCAAATAAGCATTAGCACGCCAATTATCATAAACACATTTTAATTAATGAAGCAACGGTAAACTTAACTACATTGATTTGTTATATGGAAAGAAATACGTTATTTCAAAACTGAGATAGCAATTATACCTTCAATTCAGAACAGGCCGCAAAGGTATTGTCACATATTAAGTCGAAGACAAACCGGATATCAGTTCTGCCCACTAATTAATTCATTGTCATTTCCTTCTACAGATATTTCGCATTTACTGACTACATAACTTAAATGCGTTTAATTAAATAAATATCATTAAATTGCCAATCAAAGACTTGCAGTCAAGAAAACTGTTTGGGTTTTACATCAAAAAGTTTCATCATTAATTCATTGACTGCAAAGTTTGTGGTATTAAATTGCAAAATATATAATTACAGGCTTTCTCAACTAAATTTGCATTTCATCAACTGCACCGAGCAATAGTGAGAAAAAATCAAATGATAAACTGTTGGCCAACTCGAAAATTAGCAAGCTTTGCAAAAGGTGAAACTTTGAAAACCTACATCTTCATTATTGTAATGTTGTAAAATGCAGATTTCAACCAAAATTGGAATGGTAGAAATTATTTGTTTCTGCGAGTAACAATTTTCAAAAAACTAAAAACGATTAAAACATTGTAAGCTAATAACTGAAAAGAATCGATTTCAAACAAGCTACGTGTATCGACGAATACATTAAATAATTAAATAAATAATTAAAACTATTATAATTTTTCGTCTTGCATTAATCTGAAAAGTAAACTGTTCGAAAGAGAGTCTGAACCTCTAGAAAAATCAATATCATAAATCGCCCAATCGATTGTTGAAATAAAATATCAGTACTCTATGTAATCCGTTGTACATTATTGAATATTAAGTATTTGCTTAAAAAAGGGGCTCCTCAACGTTGAATTCTTTCCATCATTTAATAAGTCATATATTCATGTGTCGGCATCGTATATGGTTTTAGTTGAGTGTGTTTTTCCCATATATAGAGGGCATTCCTTAGTAAGGATCTATAATGATCTTAACATTTCCGAAAACATCTGTGTAAGCTCAATATTGGCTAACCATATCTTGACAATGACAGCATTTGCATTTAAAGCGTTTTCTAACTAGAATGAATTTTTTTTAAATTCCCGTTGATATGTCTTTATCGAGAAAATATAACCAACTTTTGAATAAAAACTTTCTGCTAGTACAAAGTATTCAAACAAGTATTTTAATGGCCACTGGCGATGCATTAAGTCAAGAGTTAATGGAAAAGAAGGGCTGGAAAAACTACCAAGCTCGAAGAACAGCGGAATTTGCATTTTTGGGATGCTTTCTAGTGGTAATAAGCGTTCAAGTAGAATTTTACAAATAAAATTAATGTTTTACAATGCAACGTGCTTCCAAGGAAAATGTCACATTATAATTTCTTCTTACAGGGCCCAGCTTTAACAGGTTGGTATAAAATACTCGCCAGACATTTAGGTCAGAAAACGAACCTAAGTACGACTTTATTGAAAGTGGCAGCTGATCAGCTTATTTTTGCTCCAGTTTTTTTGGGAATTTTTATTAGTTGTGTCGGTCTACTTCACGGGCAAAATGAGAACCAAATAAGGAAAACCATGGAGAAAAAATACTGGGATATCCTATTCTCCAACTGGGCGGTTTGGCCAGTGGTCCAAGGAGGAAATTTTTATTTTGTGCCTTTAAAGTATCAAGTTTTAGTAGTGCAATCAGTGGCAGTGTTCTGGAATACGTATCTTAGCTGGAAAACCGAAAATGATGACTAAAATTTAATCAAGCCAATACATATTTAGCCATTCCACTGTTTCGCTCTTTTCGTATCTATATTTTTAAATTTTAGATTAAGCAGATAGATACTTTCATTTTTGACGAAATAACAAGCTATGCTTCACGGCTATTGGAAATTGGCATTTATTTACATCGAATTAGAGTTGCATAAAATAATTCCCCATAACGCACACAAAAAGTATATCAATTTATTTACGAGCTGGTGTCCAGTTGGTGTTTCGTTTTTAGATACTAAACTTTCATAATACTTATTGTCGTGAAAAGATTCAATTGGTCCAAGCAGTTTGGTCCAAACTAAACCATAGAAAATTCAAACTTCGAAAAAATTAATCAAAAATTGCAACACAGTTTTAATACAAAGGAGATATTTCAAAGATATGTTCCGTATTGTATTTGGTATTATTTATTTAAATTAATATTTGCAGTAAATTTGGTGAATTTTTGTTAGTCCACGAGAGTCGAGATTAGAAAACCATTGAAGTTTTTCATCTATTGCTTGCAGACTGTGGAACCAGTCAATAATACGTGTTTAATTCTTAAGAACTTAACAAAGAAAATGTCAACCAAGGATATTTCAAAATTTAGATTTTGACTTACATAATATACATAAATAATATTGAAATTATAAAAACTAAATAATTTTAAACTACAAAAGATTTACCTTGAACAGTTTCCAAAATTAAAAATAGCGCCACTCCCAACGTTAACCACCTCCTCGGTTGTAACATTTTCTATATGTTTTCTACAAATATCCAAATACAAATCACACCAATTCACTTGAAGTAAATTCCACACATCCCTCCGTTATTCCTATTCAAATCCCGATCGGTCACCGCCCGTCGATACTGGACTCGCGCCAGTATCGATCAATCAATCGACTTTTGATAAACTAATTATCCGCGCAATTTATAATTTTCGAAAACAAAAAACGCTGAATGGACTATGTCAACAAGTAGATCGTCTGCCTTATATCCTGATTAACGATTAGCTCCGGTATCGACCTTTCGTGGTTCCGCGCCAGTATCGAAAGTGTGTCACGACGTATAGACGCTACTTCTTGCAGGAAGGAATAGACTGTGCAAGTCTTACTGTGGACGTTGAGAGCCGACTGAAATTGTGGTAAAATGTCTTCGGCGTTTGCAAAGAATTGTTAACAACCAGTCACCTGTTTGGCATAGCCAGAAGGTAGAAAGCTGGTTGTAGGTATGGCGAGAGAGGTGATCGCATACGAAAATACCTGTGAGTGATTCAAGATCCTGGGTGGAGAGAGAATCAAAAAAATATTTGTTACATGTCCTGCTTGATGAAATTTTGATAACATTATCTGATCTGACTTGATAGCTGGTATTATTGTCAAGTCAGAGGCTCTATATTTGGGCACTTCTATTTACAACTAAGTTAACAAATAAAATAGTTTGCAAGTCATGCTGCATCTTCATTTTCCCACTTTATCTTGGTACAAAACTTGGTAGGTTTTCTCAAAGATTTTTCTATGGGTGTGTCATTCCCTGGTGGCTCTTTTATGACGTTTTTCGAGTGAAGGTAAAATGTTGAAAAAAATAATGCAGAAATCAAAATAATCACAAAAAATACAAAATTATCTTTTCTATGATTATCGTCTATATTAAAATGAGCGGCTCAACATCACAATCGACACATTTATCGGCTGTTAGTTGCAACGTGAGACTTTAAATCTTAAAAAGAATCTTCGGACACAACACAAAAAAGAACATTGAATGCAAATAAAATGTTCTCTTGCGTCGTTACTAGTGTTGCTCCCGTAAGGCTCGGCACAACTTTACAATCGTCACATATGTCGCCGTTTTTGCAAAATAAACTGTTCGAGATAGAATTGAAGAGTATTTTATCGCGTTCTTGTCAGTATTGTACCAGTAAGAATCCGCACAACTTTACAATCGATACAACTAGTGGCGTCTTTTGCGCAATCAATCAAAACAATATTTTGATTGATTGCGAAGTTGCGTTCAGCTCTTCGGGGCTGATAGTGTTCGGGCACAATAGTCTGTACTATAAGTACAAGTGAAAAGTGTTTTTTGTAGCCCTGGCAGTGTTGTGCCCATATGTTTCAGTAGTGATGGGCAAAACAAGACTTGCATGGTCTTTTTCTTGTACATAGTATTGGTCTTGCAGCAAGATTCTTTCTTCCAAGCCTTGTTTTCAATAAGGCGTAAATAACATTAATTCAATATTAATATTAAAATTAACTTTCATTGTACGTACTTTCCTGACTGTGTTTCAATTCCAAATCAAAATCAATTCCTGGGCAAACATAATACTTGTACCTAAAATACGTATTTCGCTTTGTGTGCAAAATGGACAAAATTAATACTCCAAATATATGCCAAGGCTTAAAGTAGCAACAACGCTACACATAGAAACTGATGATGGTGGAAAACACCGAAACGTATTTTAATTGATAAATAGTCAATAAATGACTGAAGCCAGGAATTGATTTTGAATTAAAATTAACAAATGGTAATAAGAATAATATACAAGAATAAAATAATCTCAGGCTGTTCCCTATTTGAATTCCGCATGATTTTTTTAATTGTTAATGGTAAAATCTGAAATTTTCGGAAATGCAACAATTCTAAATAATTTCTAATTTGAAATTACTGACGCGGACATTTTCATTTTCTAATAAGCTCCAGAAGACAGTCTCTACCCAACTTGAATGTATTTTCATGTAGAATGATTTACATTCCCACTTCATTCTGACAAACGTACAACAAACTTGATTTAATGTGTAAATATTTTTACGTTTTGATGGGTTTATAAACATTTTACCGCCGAACATATTAGACAAATATGAGGACAAGCTCAATCATTAATAATAAACAATCTTTGGCAAGGACTGAGTGATCTTGTTTAGACATCAACTTACTGCAGGATTCATTCAAGAACATTGGGAAAAATAATTAAAATTTCAAGGTAATAGTTAAAATATATTAGAACAAATATGCCTACCAACTACTTCTAATTTAGGATCTAGAGGAGGCAAAGGCAAACCATCTAGAATCATCTGAAATGTGTTTTCTAACTTGTGAATCGTTGGACTGGTAAGCGTTTAAAAAGGTTCATTTTTCTAATCATATTTAACCCAAATATCCCTTGCGTCCTATTGATAGAACACAGTTTTTATTTGCATACAGTGATAAATTCATAACTTTCTTATAACTGTTCCTGGCTGAAATGTGTTAGTGTGAGCCAAACTAACACAACAACAAACTAAACAACTTGATAAAAAATTACGCGTTTTTGCGTGTTTTTATGTCTCTGGAACAAGTGATGTTGTGAATGCTGATCAGTATCGAGTGATCTTTTCCAAGAGCTTGCAAGAGCTTGATGGCAAGTATCGCTTCTTTGGCTAGACCAAGAACCAGGCCAGTTTTCCTTATCACTAGGTAGACAATCGACAAATTTATCGTTTTTCTTATCGCAAAATAAAGCTTTGACCGTATTTGATATCGAAGTTGTGCCGAACTCTTCGAACACTACACTGTTCGGGTGGTGTCTTGAAAGGTGAATTGTGCCTAGGATCCCAGGAACAATAAATCGTATTCAGTAGAACTTTACAGTGTTTTCTCTGGCGTGGCTACCGCGTTGTGCTTGTCGGTCTCAGCACAACTTCACAATCAACAAGAGCCTCAGATTTTAGTTGCAATATGAAGTTTGAGAACGCGTTAGGTGTCGAAGTTGTGCCGAGTTTCTTAGGAACGACAATGTTTCTGGCACAATAAACCGTACTAGATGTGAGCGCTCAGTTATTTCTTGCAGCCCTGTTAGTGCCCACACAGCTCGGAATAACTTGAAAATTGACTTATTTTTTTCATATTTTTCTTGCGAGCATTAAAAATTAAACCGCTTTTTTCTACACTGGGTGTGTAGTCTACCCTAGGTTGTGTCCATAACACTCAGCGCAACTCACACATTTGGCGGCATTTAGTCAGTAGTAAAACATTTTATTTGCATTAATATAATTTCCATGCAGATCGGAAATATAAAAAAATAAAACAAAAAAGTATGTTTTTAACATAAAAATAATAAACAGTTTGTCCTAATTAAATTAAGCAAAAACCACTGGCAGCAGAGCTTGAGACACATTCAAGCTTTTGATTTGCATCTTAATAATCTCTACCTACTTATTAATTATTACTAGTAATGATTAACGTATATAATTAATCGCGTGATAGCTTTGATTTAACTCGTATGCGGATGGGCATAGACAGACATTTTGATCGAGCGAACTGAAACTTTCAATATGTGAACGGCAATGAATGGAATGTCTCTTCAGTAATCTGAAGAATCGAAGAAAATGTGTCATTATGTTAGCTTATTAAAAATACGTGAAAGTTTCAGTCTAATACTACTAGAGAAGATTATACATCCGTTTTAGTAGTTAGCTGTTTGCGATGTAGCGTAGGAGAAAAATCTGCTAAGATTCCTATAGGTATTGTTTGTTTAGATTGTTTAATTTTAGCTGAAAGTCTTGAAATAATTTGTGAATTCTAATTAAAATTCAAGCTCAATTTATGCAGGGTGGCTTAAATTATTCGCGACTATTTTAATCAACAGAAAACCGTTGAGCATAACTAGAGAGTAAAGTACACAAGGTATCCCAAAGAGCAGTTGAACAGGGTGAGTCACTCACAGAACAGGAGTTAATACCATATAATGAACAGGTTTTGAAAATCCATGTTTTATTTCTGTTCAAAAATATTTTGGGTAAAAATGAAAATTGTAGTTCAATGTAAATTGGATTTGCATAAAAATGCGCTATTGAAATTTTTAGCAAAATTTTGGAAGTCGTCTGTCATGCTTAAAAGTAACTGGCAGACTATTATTCTATTTTTTAGCATGCCGTAATTTTGTACTGGTTTGTACTTAGATATTTGTGTGGCTAATTTTGGGAATGTCAGAAAGACTACATATTTGACGAATCCGATTCCTAATATTTCGACGATTTCTGCTTTATTCATTAATCACACGCAGATCAAATAATGACTTTCATTTTTACTTACTTGTTTACACTAAAATAAAGATTTCAGTGTATTTCAGACCTGTAACAAGCATTAAATGCTGTGGGGGGCGCATGTTTCCAAATACATAAGCCAATTTTTGGGAATATTAAAACTTGGTTGGCGTGAAATTTCAGGTGGGCGTATACTTTTTTATTGTTATGTAACAGTTTAGTAGAAGTTTGTAAGCGATTGATCAAATCGATTATATCAAATCAAGCCCATCAAATGATTATATCGACTATAACCATTTGATGGGTGATAAATGGATGCAAACCGATGCACAATAAGAAATAATTAATTTGTATTATAGTTTTTTTAACATGTTGCGCTTTCACTGTTGTTTAAACATGATAAATATATAAGATAGAGCACTAAGATATATAGCAAAAGGAAGAATTTTGTGACCGTATTTTCAAAGTAAAAGAAGAAGTCCATATCAATGGATGATAAATCGGGACGTATTGCTCGCTGCTAGGAGACATTATTTCGCGCTTTTAGGTGTTATATAAGATAGAGGACTGAGATGTCAAATATCTAGCAAAAGGACATTTTGCAAGAAGAATTTTGCGACCGTATATTCAAAGTAAAAAAAGAAGTTCATATCAATGGATGATAAATCGGGACATATTGCTCGACAATAGGAGACTATTTCGTGCTTTTAGGTGTTGCTCTTTCTGCGATACAGTTCGAAAAATATACCACTTTTGCCAAGCCTATATATAGGTTTAGTTTGGTGTTTAGTAAGTTTGGGTGAGTATTTTTATTACAAACTAAATATATACAGGGTGGCCATTTTCTGAATCTTTGTATGGGTGACTTCTACATTTTTAAAGATAGAGAATCCGTTAAATGGGCTAAATTGGGCAGAATTCGATTGCCTATTCATTACCGTTTTCAAAATTTAGGTACCCGACTTTTTTCGGTTTCTGAAATATCCTGAAAAGATTATTTATATTAATTATTACTTATTACGTAAACTGCTTAAAAAGAGTTAAAACTGCCCTTAGTACAACTTTTTGCGTTGAATCCAATAAACTTGTTTTTTTTTAAATGGTAATCATAGTATATCATTGACTGTGGGCCTTTTAAAATCCTTATTTTTTCCTGAATGTAACGATATAATTGTTTGTATGTTTTTCTCCTTTTGTTGCTGTAAAACTTTAAAAGAAGATAAAAAATGTGTAGTAGGCTATGAAAACAAGAACTATATTACCATTTAAAAAACCACAAGTTTATTGGATTCAATGCAAAAAGTTGTACTAAGGGCAGTTTTAACTCTTTTTAAGCAGTTTACGTAATAAGTAATAATTAATATAAATAATCTTTTCAGGATATTTCAGAAACCAAGCAATCGAATTCTGCCCAATTTAGCCCATTTAACGGATTCTCTATCTTTAAAAATGTAGAAGTTACTTATACAAAAATTCAGAACATGGCCACCCCGTATATTTCGTTTGTTTCCACTTATTTTTTTCTTAGACACATTTTGTAAATATTTCGGTCAGTAACCGCATTTTTTTTAGTTTTACTTTCGATGTTGATAGGCATGCGTCAAAAATTAAGGTTTTTTGAGAATATCTTAAGTACCATTAGAATTACAGATCAATACTCCAACTATTTTAGCACGATACTCGATTTCATTGAATTTGCCAGTGCTGGAAATTTTCAGGAATCGTCTGAGCATCGTTTGTCGTACGCGTATTATGAAATTTATCCCATGAGACTCTTTTAGTGTAAAATTCATTGGCCTTGCAGTATTTGCTCTCGTGTATCCAGTGGCGTATAATAATAATGTTAGGGAGATAAACTGTAGGGCGTTTCAAACTCTTCAGCACGTTCATTTAATTCGAATCGTTTGCGAAAAAGTAGCTGCTGATAGTGGTAATTTGTGTACAAAATGTAATTCTTGAAGTTCAAACTGTTCTTGACACCTTAGCAGAAAAAGAGATCTTTTTTTACTGCTATTTTTTAGTACAATTTTGTCGGCTCGACACTTTTTGATCTGCATATGCACGGCTGGGATTCGAACTTCGGATCTTCAGGTTGCTAGCCTGTTGATCCGACCGCTCGTCCACCATGCCAGCAAGAAAAGTCTTTACGATGGTTTCTGGACAATTTGAAACGGACGAAATTTATTACCTTACATTTTTTAAATTGCGCGAATTCAATTAAATTTACTTTCATTATCAGTGACTTAGATGCTATTTAATGATTGATCTACGCTATTGAACAGCTGATTAATTCATAACGAGAAAGCCCTAGAGGCATTACTTTCTTTTCCATCTTTCTAAAACAAGATTTACATACATTTTTTGAGAATTGAAACTTTTAGGACGATTTAAATTAAGAACGCTTACATGAAAATGAAAATGAAACATTTCAATAAGTTCTGCAACTTACCAATTATTCCATTCTTGTATAATATTCTGCTAGTGCTCGACTAAACGTCTAGTATCCGCCACCATTTTGACCAAACTATTGCATCGGTGCCAATATTAACAAAAATTTGCATTAGAACAGTTTTCATTCGGATTGTCGCAACTAACACTTACTTAGGTTGTTTATTATTTTCATAATACAATTATATCCTTCAGTTTAATGGTTTTTTACAATTTGTAAAATGCTATTTCCGAATTAATCTTAATTTATTTTAAATGTTCTCGTTTTTAGTAAAATAAGGAAAACCTGATGTTATGTATTGGCAATGACGAAAGGCAAAAGTTGTAGAAACAAGTGCGCCTCAAAAATTCAAAGCAGAGACAAATAATGCGTTACTTCTTTTCTCTGTCTCTGATTCAAAGTGTTGTAAAATATCAAAAAATTGTAAGTCCTGCTTAGTTTTCCTTTCAAGAACATTCACTTGAAACGTACAAATATTCAGCTGTGAAGTGAATTTTTAAAGATTCTTAGTTATGATCTAGCTCAGCTCACGCAGACCGCATCCTGTCTCATAAGCGCGCACATGCACGAGCGAGAAAAAAGATAAGCTCCGTAGCCGACAAGCCGACACCTGCGTAGGTCAAATGAAATTGTCGACTAGTTGCAATAATCTGTGGTTGAATTACGTCCAAATACGTCTGTCGACTTGTCGTATTGTAAAGACGTCAAAAATAACGACAATAAAACAAAGTAAAAAAACAACTTGCTGTAAGTATTATTAAACCTGCTTTTGCCATAACACTTCCGTAGGTATTACGGATTTCGTCTAACTTAGTAAGTAAACTAGCCCTAATACTACTAATAACAAAACAGGTTTCAATAACATAGTGAAGGTCTGAGGGGAAAGTGACTCATTTATACCAGTTGACAGTTGATTTTCATGTAGATTTTATACAAAAAGTTTTATAACTGTGAATAAGAAAAACACACGGTGTTGTAATTGTTTCAGCTGGCCCCCATTTAACATATTCCAAAATGAGTACTAGTATTGAACCGCCCAAGTTTGCCAGTCCAGATGAAGAAATCAAGTTCTGGAAAGCCCTGGCTCTAAAGTATCACGAAGAGTAAGGATTTTGCTCAATTCATTGCTGAGAAGTTACATTTCAACTAAACACATCAACTTTATAATTGTAGCCTAGAGAAAGCCGGCCAGGAGGCAGATGAATTCATGATGGACTCTAAACAGCTTGAGAAGGAATTGGAGTCTACCATTGATCAGAATGAGAGAAAGATTAAAGAACTCAGTATTAGTAACAACAGGGCTCAAAACGAAGTTGACGCAATAAGGGTACGTACATTTACACAATTCTATCGATTCCAGTTTTTTCCCATATACCCATCACCTAAAATAAACTTCTTTAATTGTTTCAGGTCAAGCTGGACATTTGTTTCAAAGAAAGAACTAATCAACAAACTGAAATTGACCAACTGAAAGCTGAAAAACAAGATCTTATCAGCAAAATCATCGAACTGGAAAACTGTAATGATGACCTGGAACGGTCCAGAAGAATAATTGAGGAAAGTATGGCTGGTTTTGAACAAGCTCTCAATTCGGCTCTTGAGAAAAATGCAATGTTAGAGAATGAGGTCGATGAAAAGGAACGTTTAAGGGAAAAGTTACAAAGGCTGGCAGACGAAGTGAGAGGTAAATTACTAGCATTAAACTATTTGGTTTCAAAGTGCCAATATCTGAAGATTATCGTTGAATTAATGACCGAGTCTGACATGTTATTATTTTTTATTGTATTGTAAAGGTATAATTTAACGTAATGAGGTCACCAAAGATAGCCAAAAACAAAGTTTTTGTGTTGTTTTAAAATAATATCGATTGTGTTTGGCGACTGGGATGCATTCCGAGTAATAGACAGTTTGGATGGCACACTTACAACATATTTCGATTTTAGATCTCAAACAGGAACTTTTAGTAAAAGAGAAGGAACGAGCCCCTGACAACGAACGATACATGAATGGATTTAAGAGCCCTTCTATAGATAACCGACTGAAAGAGAACGAAACACAGACTTCAACGAATAAACGTAAGAATAATCGTTTTAATAAGGCTTACAAAAGCTTTCGATCGAAATTTTGCAGCAAGAAAGATGCTTAAATTTCTTGCAATAATTGGCATGATTGTTGTTTGTTGTCTGGTCATTGGTTTTCTTTATTTTGGCCTAAAACCCCTGCCCAGTATAGCGCTCAATGATTGCGTTTCCTTGATCCAGTTTTTAGCAAACATGTATTCAGGTTCTGTTACTATTTTTACAAGTCAATCTTGTGCATGTATTATAATCCAATCTAACTGTGCTAATTAACAGTTTTGCATATCAGATAATAAACCAAATTGCAAAGAAAATTCTTGCAAGTGCACTTAAATAATATTAAAGGAAAAGTGACTGTTTGCCGTCCAGTAGAGCTATATAATCATTGATTATATTTCAATAAGCTAAAAATTATTTAAATTAAATTACCAAATAGTATTTCTAATTTCTTGAATTTAGCTGATATCAAAGTTTCTAAGCATAATGCGGAATTTGGCTGGTTGCTTCTAATATATATCACTTAAATGCTAATTTCTACCAGTCATTAAAAGCAGTTAACAATTATGCTTTTATTCTTCAACTTTAAATATAGATCCTTAATAAGTACTTTATGATAACAATATGTATTGTATTGTTTGCTCAAGTCTGTGTTTCTCCAAAAAAAGCAAATTCAAATACGTTCTAATATTTGACTTTAGTTCCTCATAGTAGATGTAAAGGAAGTGCAATAAAAATACATTATTAGCCATCTCTTATGATAATTAGTTAATAAGTTATTTTTATACAATTGTTTTAATTAGAAAACATATCTAAATTTATTTTACTGCCTTCAAGTGTAGTTTATAGTTTTCGTTTGTAAATGATACATGTTCAAATTACGTGGTCCTCAGTAGCTATCAAACAAATAATCTGGAAAAGTTTGAGAAATAATTAAACCATCGTCAACAAAAAGTGTATAACTATTCAACCATCTTCTGCGGCGGCGTCTTGCGATTTGTGCACTCTGTTACACACTTTTTGCTTAGCATGTTGCTTAATTTTGATACATACATATATTTTAACATTTATCGTAGTAACAAGACTCAACTAACCATTTCATCTGTGCAAATGACTAACAGTTGTAACAGAAGAAACACCCGACTACCTTAAGAATGACAACCTAATAATTTTTTATTATCATTCCGAGAACGTCTTAAGCAATTTTAAACATCAGTTTATAAAACTGAAATCTTAAGGTAGTTTTTAATAACTAAAATTAATTGGATAATGTTAATGGTTGATTTTATTATGTGGTTCAATAGTAAACAGTGTTTAATTAACTGAGATGTATTCAATTGCAAATAAAGTTTTTCACATTTTTTTGTGTTTGAGTCTTGTTGCATGTTTTTGTGTCCCTTTTGCATGTTTAATTTCGAAAATACCGCATTTGCTTTCATCTGAAAAGTTTGTCATTCTCATTATAGCTAGTCTTGTTCAGCAAGAATATTTTATTTCAAATAAATTATAATAAAGTTTCGGTTGCTGTTTTCCTGCACCAAACGAAATAGGTGGTTATAGTTAACAGTTATATTTGTTGTGTTTAATTATAGGAGAATATCCACCGCAATTAACTCCAGCCTCACGAGTGATGGCGCTGAATATTGTGAGCGACTTAATACGAAAAGTCGGGGTAAGTAAAATATACATATATGTACCGGTTGCATGTTACATTGTTTTTGCACGGAATTTCTTTTCGCATATCACTTCAAAGGTATCACAGCAGCAAACATAGCACTGAAACATGGGCATAATGTTTATATTATAGAAAATACTAGATTGTATGTTTAATAATCCACAAAACGTTATATTTTGTTCAAGTAACTAATTGAAGGTTTACTAATTTGATTAATATTTTGTGTTTTTCTTTAATTGGGCAAATTGAAGCAATGTTTTTTTCAATAATTAATGAATGCATATGGAGTAATAAGCAATTAAGAATAGATGAATGAAGTCGTTTGCAGCAACAATGCTAAAGAATATTAAACATTTCTTTGTTATGCATGTAGTCGTATTTTGGTTTGATGCATGTCAAGTTTTATTGTGCTTTTAGCTCTCAAGATATCTATGCTCTCAGTGTGGACAAGTTAAATGTACGATGTGCGGTACAGATTCCAGTTTGCTTAATAGTAGTAGTTGAGTTAGGTGCGTAGATTGTTTTTATTGTTATTAGTAATTATACTGGGGCAAGGCCTTGGGAAGTAGAACTAATCAATTCCAGCAAGCTAAAATTGCGCTATTAATTAAGCACAGCTTAGAAAGTGTTTTCTCCCAACTAACCCACACTTATTTAATAATCTAATTGTGCAATGTACTTTATTAATTGATATTAGAAACTTTTGTTGAATGTTTTGCCTACTAATCCCGAACAAATGATGTGCATTCAGTTGAACCCTAATTCCCGCAGAAATAACCACCACCTTTATGATGAAATCAATACAACCAAAATGAATGTGACGCTAACTAGTGTCTTCAATTTAACTAAATTTAATAGCATTTGGAAAAGTGCCATAACAAGGAAGGTGAAATTTTGTAGATATTTTAAATAAATATTGGTATTTATTCGGTTGCCGGTTCTTCATTTTCTTGTACAGAAAACAACAAAATTATTTTACCTTTATAGGGTAGAATCGCTGCAACAAGGTAAGAATCAATATAGTCGTTTTTAAGGCCAACATAATTAAGTTCTTGTATAAAATCTCTTGCAATCTTTTTCTTGGTGGCCGTTACATATTGTATATTGTCTCCTGTGGTTAATTATATAAACACAACATATTAATGGCTGCAAATTTAAGCAATCAACAGACTTATAAAATGGCACTTTCAACCCATTGTATGATTTTTCGTTTCTGAGTTGTGAGGAGAAAATAACATTTTTAATTTTGCTCAAACTAATTTTGACCTTTACATGCAAATGTCTCGAATTTGGTTTATCCAAATAAGAAACAAAGTTCATATCAAACGTTTTAAAGTGCCTTTTGATTTTTATTGTTGCTCAACATTTTTCCTATTGAACCAACTTCGTATCATCTACAATATTCCCATATTGGCCATTTCTATAATTTTGAACACCGTGTATATATTTGTAAAAATGTAAATAAAATTATAAACAAAGTAATGCAAGAGTAAGCAAAATTCAATAATTGGTGAATTTTTGCCAAAAAATATAAATACGCTTGTTATGAATCTCGTCTGGCAAAGTCTCCATTACTAAATAGAGCAAAAAACTCTCTTAGATTTCGGGTAATTTAAACAGTGTTCCACTTCTGTGTAATTTAATGTTAATAATGCCTAAGCTATCAAATTCGAGATATCTCATTAGCAACGAATTGCAACATTTATTAAGATCGAATATCTAGGAAACGACAGAGATTATCTATTCACGACAAGCATATCGTTTTCACTGAAGGCTGTTGCATAAACATTTTTTTAACGCTTTAAATTTAATTTTAATTTTTTCACATTTTAGCATTTAATTTAACCGAATCAACTTTTCGTTTGCTGTGACGACTGTAAAGAGTACGTTTTTTACGTCGGAACAGCGCCACATTAAATATTTTCTCCTACTTTGAGTTCGCCCCGTAATCATCAATTATACATAGTAATTAAAAGCTCAATATAAAGGGTGGTTTTAGGGTAATGTGCGTCCCAGTCAGATTAAAAAAACTACAACTGAATTTTCAATTTTTAAATGGGAATCTTATTAAAGAAACCTACAACCTACCGATTTTCTGGAAAAACCGACATATTTTTTAATTTCTGACCGCAAATAACCGTTTTCGTCAATTTTCATAAAATTATATAAAAGGAGCTTGAACCACTATCAAAACATTAAATTTTTTGCGCAACTTTCTAAATCTTTACTTTGAAGTCAGTGCATTTTCGGATTGGCTCGTCCGAAAAATAAGTGCATTCAATTTTTAATCACCTAACTTATTTTCGTAAATTTAACTTCAGTTAGCTCATTCATTAATTAACCCTGGAATGACTTCATTGGCTACTTTCTAAGGCATGTAAATATCTAGAGAATGCCTTAATGATAGACTGCTTCTAACATCGCATCACTAGAGGGCATATGAATAGTAATTAATGTAATACATTTTTGTAGTTGGCTGAATAATAATAATAAATTATTATTCCCTGAATAATCAATTATTTTACATCTTGTAGGGCTTAGAGCGGCACCTAAACTATACCGAACTACAACCCGTTGAGTTAAGGTAAGTGCCACGCACGATATTGGCGAGTTTTCGGTTCAAAATACTAATAGAGCGTCTCCATTGTTATGTGTGTATTTTTAAATTAAATTGTTATTTTTCTTTAAAGTAGTTTTTGTCAACAGAAAAAATCAACGTTCTTCACTTAACGGTTCTCCGCCAGGTATTAATGGGGTATCAAAATAGGGAAAGCTAATTTTTACTTATTGAAGTCGATTAAACAAAACAACTGATTAACCAGGCGGGTGCAAGTTTGGCTCTGGGGTAATTGGAGGGAATATTTTATGTAGAGCGATTATTAACATTGTTGAACTGCAAACTATGTAATACTCTGATGACAGGTTTTGAAAACCGAAGAAATTAAAATTGATGAAAGGCCATTTATTACGAATAAATAAAGTCTTTTAAAATTTTTAGTTCGTTAGTTATACTCTCATGGGTATTCCCTTCAAGAACAGCAATAGGAAATGTGTAAAAAAACTCACCGTGATTCTTCTTATTGACAGTATTATAGTTCCTGGACTGATATTATCTAATGTGATACTTTGAAATTGAGCAAAATTTAGTTTACTTTTGTTTTTCCTGTTATATTATATAATAGGTCAATCTTATATGAGCGGGACTTTAGCTGCAAATCTATATTCTCAAAGCATAAGTAGATAGGTATAAAATGGCAGTTTTTCAAGATATTTTGGGAAATATGTAGCGCAGGGGTCTATTGTCTTTCCACTAGATTTTTTAGATCCTTTCGACTTTGAGAAACTATAAGTACTTAATTATGTAAGTTGTTTTAAATAGTGAAACACAGTTCACTATGTATTAATGACCATCAAGTACAATATATTTTTTTACGGACAGCTCTCTTATTATGTGAAATTCCCCTTTTTTCTGCTTAGGAATTCCTAATATAAATTTCTACCGTTACCAACAACTGTTGAATACATAAGCCAACATGCCCCTGCCCTTATTTAGCCATCAGTAAAAACAAGAATATATATACATATTTACAAACTTTAATTATTACATATTTGCAATGCGCACTAACAGAGCGTTTTTTACACTTTTATATTGTGTTCCTACTCACATCGGTGAGTCTCTCTAGAGGCGAGTTGTTTAGTTTAATTTATTTTAGCAGGTAAAACAATCCCTATTCGTTTAATATGGTGCGTATATTAATATAGAATAATTGATTTGGAAACATGTGATCTTATTTTTTTATGTCATTAATTGTTGACATAAATTAAATAGAAACGCTTTAGTTAGCCCAGAACTTAGGCGGCCAAGTGATATGTACAGATGGTTAATTTTCTTACTAGAACAGTTCAATAACGTTGCTCTAATTTATTTCCTGATGTAAATAAACTGTTGGTGGAAAAAAATAAACAGTGTACCCGACACTTTGATCACTTGGTGCCAATAATTGTATATCAGATACCTACATTAATAAATGATGTAAAATATGTAAACTGATTTTTTTGCGATAATAATTTGTTAATTGATTTGTAAAAATATTTTCCTACTCTTAGGTTTAATTATATTATGCTTTGTTTGTGGACGCTCTAGATTTCCATAAATCAATAAATCAATGCAATAATGCGGCTTTCGGCAAGCCAATCCTCATGTATTCATAATAGGCCGGCTTTTAGAATTAGCACATACTCTTTCTGACCAGCGTTGCATATTTATCAAAAATGTTATTTAGCTAGTGAGAAGATCTTTACTGAAATATGTGTGCTTTGAATAGTCGCGGACTATAAAATCCTAGCAATTGCCAAGCTGGAATGGTTGTTTTTGTGGTTTAGAGAACATTTTTGTACTGGTGGATTTTGAAAATGATTGTTGGGAACAGTGTTTCTTCACGTTCCGCCTACCCGTCAGAGGTTGATATCACCAAGGCAATTGTAATTTTATTAGTAGCTGCTCTGAATAATTCATCTCTAAGTTTATAATGTTCTGCTTTTTTAACTCTTCAATTCGTTTATTTTTCCTTCCATTATGTTTTGTAATAGCGTGTATTTGGGTCCTCTTATTACACGTCCAAAATATTCCAGGTTTTTCTTTTTTTATAACTTTGGATCACTTTCTGATCCTTCTGTCATTCTATGATATTTTCAATATACTCCACTAAAAACATCCCTCGAATGCTTTAAATTTACCCATTTTAAATTACAAGCTTCTGATCCATAGAGTAGAGTTGAAAATACGCTTGCCAAAATGCAAAGTGTAGTTAACAGTATAGCAATATGCAAAGTGGCTTCTGGAATAGCAGTTATTCATAATACACCAATACACGAACGTGGATGGAAAGGACAACAAAAACGCAGTTTTTATGTAATCTATCATACACCATCTTTTCGTAATTATTTTGTGAATTTTCGACTGTCTGTAAAATGCAAATAAAAATTCTCATCCATTTTACATAGATTTGTGGTCTGCTACACTACGTACAAAGGATATCATTCACATTAGTGTATTCCATTTTTATAAAGTAGATTAATCATAATATTTATTATTTTTAGTTAATGATATATAGATTTTACCTAACATTGCCACAATAGTTAAGTTTTTTAATAGAATACTATATTAGTGTGTTTAAAAATGCAGTATCTGTTTTATTAAATATTTTATTTTATATGTTTTGCTAAATTTTATTTGAGTAAATCGTATCGAAAATTATCCTGAAATTAGTCGTGGTGTGCCTACTGAGATTGAACAACACTTGTATAATTTCTGTAATTAAAAAACATGTGAATAAACAAAAGATATGTACTAAAATTAAAAAGTCTTTATTATTCATTACACTAATTGGCCGATAAGTAGTCTGGATATTATGGTACTTAAACTGTGGTTGATTTGTGTGTTGTTATCTTTGACCGTGCTAGAGAATTTCTCTATACTCTCAGTTAGAGACAAAGGGGCTAATGTTATCTCAATAACATTGTTACTGTTTGAACTTTCAATCAATTGCATATGTAAAGTCCCTAAAAAGAAGTTAAAATAAAGCCAATTTAATTTTCATTTAGTGTGGATTGAACTCATTCATACCTGCAATACTAGACGATTTAAAAATCCATAAAATCACAATGTATAAAGGAATACTGCTAATGGAATCCTTTAATTTGCTGAACAACGTGTGGATGACTAGAGTTATAATCCTAAACTAAAATAGACTTTTTTGTACTAAATTACTAATTTGATATACAGAGTGTTTATATAGAACCCTATCACATCATATTGGGCTGAAAAGATGGTAATTTAACTTAGCTCGTCTACTGCAAAAGCGAACCGTTTTGGAATCCAAACTTGAGTTTAAAACATCGACCGAAATTTTGTATTGGAGGGCTTTTTGAGACAATAAATTACAATTTGTTAGAAAATTCGATGAATATTGAAAAGGGCGCTAAAAATATTTTTTTATTAGTCATATTGATTTATCGCTCAATTATGACTAGATTTAAATTTGCCGCATCTCTGCATTGTGAGATAACTAATTTTAGAGCTGAATTAACCATAAAGGCTCAGTTCCGAAGAACGATATAAGACGTTAAGATTCGAAGTAATCGAAAGTGCTGACCAGTTTAACTCAACACTATAATATGTCCGTTAACCCTCTTGTAAAGATTAGCTGGATGTAAAATATAAAAATAGACGAGGAAGCAAAATAATATTATAAAAATAGACTATCGACATCAGTTCCTCGTAGTTCTTAATATGTCCTCCAAATTTCGAAATCGCCTGAATATAATGAAGTCGATTTCAAATTCTAAAATTCACTAGATATTTTAAGGTACGACGGGGGAACTGATGGCTGGTCTATTTTTACTTTTTACGTTGAATTGATCTTTGCAACCATGTTAACAAAAGAGCGTGTTTGAATTTACAATAAGAGAGATATAGTCAATTACAGATCGTAACAATTTACTTAAAATGAAAGTTTATTTCGATTCCAACACAATAATTTTATTATTCTTTCTCCGGTTTTCTAATTTGATTATGCCCTGCTCTTGGAGAACTGCCCACTTTTACATAAAACAAATTAAGTGAAATCATCATGTTTTCACCCCGGAAATCTATGGCAAACACTCTGTCTATTGAAACTTACTGCCGCAAACACGGTGTAATACAAGGCAGTGGTAGGATACAGAAACAGCAATAATGTAAACCCCAGCGTTCCAATGAAAAGTTGATTGGAAGAATATTCACAAGAATCCACCCTGTTCCTTAAAGGATTAAATTTTCTTCCGATAAACAGCCGCCACAGTGAAATTAAGCCTTTTACTTGAAGAGAAAAAAGCCTAGAACAAAATGTGAATAATGTATTTGTAATTATGGCAAATACTTGAAATAATATGCAGGAATAGGCGTAGAAGTTACTCACCTTGCTGCATATACGTATATACAATAAACGTGGAAAGTTGCGAGTGAAATTATATCACAAATTATAGCTAGTTGATAGGATACTCCAAATAGAGCTGGTAGCAACAGTAGCTGAAAGTTGGCTTCTAGAATGGGTTGCATTGCTTGCAAAAATACCTTCCATAGATTGATATGGTAGAAGAAAAACTTGCCAAGCGAATGGTTAAACGCATAGTTCAATTTTAACCCGATTGGGGAACCCATTAAGTATAAAAGTAGCTCTCGCAGGTGAGTCACAGATCCCTAGGAAGTTTTCCTTAAATTCATGAAGTATTTTATCTAATATTTTTAGTACCTGTGAGATATAATGTAAGTTGGATGTAACAATGCACTTATAAGGCAAACACAACCAGATAAAAGCAACACCGAGAAGAATGTCTATACATTTAGCTAAGCATAAATTTCCAAGCTGCGGGGTGAACTTTTTCTCCGACTCTAAATGGTTTGCGATCCATTTTAGTGATTTCACGCTTGATTGAATGTAAGTCAATGTTGTGCAGTTTTTTATAACAGGGTTCAATTTAGTAAATATCTAAAACACAACTGGTCTGTTATTAGCTTCGCATACAGCAAATCGTTTTCGAGCATACTTTGATTATGATATTGAGTAGGGCAAAAAACCAATAAAATACTCCGGTGTTGTTTTCGTTTACTATCGCCCTGCTTTCACTGATTTTTTCTGCGAGTTCTCCTAAGAGAATACCGTATATTTTATCGCCTTCTGAGACCAGTTTGCTGTTTCGGAAAGCTTCGTACTCATATCGGATTTGTGTTACATGGATGTCTTCATTGTTTTCTTTATCTAGGTGAATGTTTTTCGTTCCTTGTGTAATGAATAGGGTGTTTTTGCCCGGAAACTCCACATTGGGGTGCTTTCCTACATAACCAAGTTGATTTTTACATGTTGTGTGCACTTCAGGGTGCGTTATATAGTAGACGTCGAAATTGGGCTTCTTTCGGTGAAATCCTTCGATAAAACCACACTTTTCTGTTGAAAATCGCTTGGGAATAAAAACTAAATTATTTGTAAACATTGTGATGCTCGCACCCTTGTCATCGTGACATGAATAGAGATACACAGTTCATAGTGGCTCTGTGTGTCTCTGTCTGTCTGGTGAGAATGGAATGAGAGAGACTCTGTGGTCTGACTAGGGACATTGTATTTAAAACCGTATCCATCAGCTGATAGCTGTTAAAATACATAAACATAACCAAGTTTCGGTCGTTTATTTAGTTGATGTTTGGTGTGAAAACGTTTTCAAATTAAGCATATTTTTCTTAATAAATCATTATGACCACTAGTGATATGAAACAAACCATACTAAGAGAGCTTGAAGATAAATACGGTGATAGATTATTGGATCTAGGTCAATGTACAGACATTTATAATAGCCTTTTAGAGCACAAGGCTTTAATAGAGGCAAGAGTGAGTAGTTGCGTTATTTTATATACACGATTATATGCAAATAAGGGTTTTCGCTGTTCATTTAAAGACCCCTTTGATTTTCTTTAGAGGCAAAGAAAGTGAAATTTCAAAAGTTTTAGGAATATTGGAGTTATCTAGATGACCAGTTTGCTAATAAGTTTTTCTATTGAACAACTGATAGCCTTGTTTTCCAGTTGCAAATAACGTTAATCAACAACATCATAAGATTCAAGACATTTTCTTTGCTAACACTAATTTCTTTGCCTGTACTGTACTTTTTTAGGAAACTTTTCAAAATTAGGCCCAATTAACCGTGAGATATAAAACTGAAAGCCCAAAAATTGCATATTTATATAATCCGAAGTATTTGCTTAAGGTGCAGCAAATGATTTTCTTTCGGTTGTACAAACTTTTTCATATAGGTACTTCAAAGGTTTTCCTTTTAGAATTTGAAGTAAAAGGATTTGCTACGTTTTATTCATGATACCCAATAAGAACAACGAGTTTTGCTTTGCGCAGTTTAATGTGTGACGAATTTTTTTGAGAAAAGTGCTTTCAAATGTTTTCAGAAAATATTGAATGTCGTCGATAAAGTACAGTATAACACTCGATTCTAATGGCCTTTATTCTTGGCTAATATTCATTATGATCATATATCTATCATAAGATCCTCGTATAATAATTCAATATTATTTACCAAACATAATGCACATTTTCCACAATATTCCGGCTGTGCAAAGAAGTTAAAAACACCTGATGCAACAGTTACAGTTCATCTATGTTTAATAAAAATGTCTAAACCAGTTTTAATCGAATGAAAATGATCTTTTAACTTGCATTTTAGTTAAACCCTTCAAACTGCGAAAATCTCATAGGGACTGCTTTACAAGAAGCAAAGCAAATTGTAGGTGAAAGTGTAGAAATTACCTCTCAATCCAAAAAAAGTATTGAGGTGATTGAAAAGGAGCTCAGAGAAATTGATCAAGTCAATTCAGATTTAAAGGCCAGAGTTGATAAGTTAAACACTTATCAAACCACTTTGCAATACTTGAAAGTGGTACAGCAGATTGAATATTTATGGCAAGTTCTAGTGTTTTGTTCCGTATAATTCTAACTTAAAGGAGCTGGCAATATTGTATTATAAATCAGCATCAAACGAGCGATTGATTACTGATTCTTGTCCTGCTATCACAACTAAGTATATTATTATTATTGAAAATTTTAGTTTGGAGCTTCAGCATGAGGTGTCGAAAAAGGATGACGAAAAATGTGTAACTTTGTTTGCAAACATTACCGAAATATACAGGATTTTGTCGGACTGTCCACTATTACATTTGAAGGATTTTCTCAAGGAAACCATGCTTTATTGGCATAACATTTTAAGAGATAAATTAGGAAAGTGAGTTTCCATTTAAACACGAATAATCTTAGTTAGTTAAAATGCGACCGTTTTAGGGTATTTGATGAAGCGTTAAAGCAAGTGAAATGGCCTTTTTTGAGTGCCAATTTTAGCCTCGTATCTCCATTCGAAGTCAATGTAGATAAACTCCAGCTCTTAGCAGAATATTTATTACAAATTGAAATTCCTCCTGAAGCTAATGTACCCCCCAGTATTCCTTTAGGTAATGTAAGATATTTACGTTTTTTATAGATACTGAAAAATTCATTGCAGGGGTGTTAAGTGATTTTATTCCACCTTGTTTGCCAATTCAGCTATTGATCCTTCCACTTCGCAAAAGGTTTATTTACCACTTTTATGGAAATAGAAAAACCAACAGAGTTGATAGACCTGAATGGTAATTTCAAAAATTAGTAGATATTTCGAAACCAGTAGCATCTAAACGTACAAAGTGTCCGCCACTGTATTCGAAATAAGTCGCTGCAAACTCTATGACAAATTTTAAGCAAAAATTGTTTATCTAACTCTTCCTGAATTTTCTACTGTGAGAAGAATAAATTAAAAATAAATAGTACATCGGCGGACACTCTGTTTAGAAAATTCTTTAGAAACTTTCTTATGCTTAAAATGCACTTTAAAGGAGCAGCATTATACATTTACCTAAAATTTATAAACATTTTGAAGGTATTTTACACAGATATTAACTTGGATTAAAGACCACCAAGATTATATGGGAACATGGATTCAACCTGTTATAGATAAATTTGGGTTACATCATATTGATGCTAAGGTATGATTCTATGCAAACCTTTTTTTGAATTGTTCACTCGTTTTTTTGTAGAATGAGTTTATGAGAGGTTTAGTGCAGCTGGCTGCAGAAAAGTTAAATTCCGAAATATCTTCAATTCAGTTTGATGATTTTGCATTTTCACATTCAATCGATGAAGCTTTAGGATTCGATAAAGAACTTAGGGAGCTTTACAATTATCCAGCTAGCGAGCCAAGTATTATAGGTATTTTAACCCAAGCTCAAGTTCTTGTTAAATGGTTGTCTATGGAGAAAAAATGTAAGTATCCTGAACTTGCCTAACACCAAATAGCCCAAAGTTTAATGTGCATTTAATAAATCCTATTATTAGATTATCACGTCTTAACTCTCCTCACTTCTCACTCCTCACAAAACCCTACAGCCTGATTTTGCTGCAAAATGATGTTTATATTTACATATGCAGGGATGTAAATTTTACTTCAAATTATTTGTTTTATACACACACAAATACAAAAATGTGCATTTTTGATTATTCAGAAGGATTCTTTTTCAGATGCCACAGAAAAAATGGATGCTATTTTATCATCCAGTTCCATGGATGCATTTGACTTGCTAACATCAGACGTAGAAGACTTGAAAATAACAACATGTGCTGATGCTTTTATTACTTTGTTGCAAACCATTGCAGAGAGGCAAGACTTAACTATTAATTTCCCGTTAAACAATTCTCGATAATCTGAGAAATATATTTTTTGATTTTCAGATATGAATGTCTTCCCCAACCAGGGCACAGGCTTCAATTTTTGGAGCTTCAGCTGGAATTGTTAGATGATTTCAGAGTGAGGTATGAATGATAGTAGTTGCTAACTTTATTATTTTCATTTTCTACGTGGTTTAAACCAGGCTACTACAGATAGTTAACGCGGAAGAAGGCGATTATATGGAGTCAAAAATTCCCTCGGTGGCAAATACGCTTTACTATGTCGAGAATGTTTTAGTTGATTGGGGAACGATGTTAGTAAGTGACGATTTTGTTCTTTGAAATTAGTTTTTTATATTTCTCAAATATTCCTTTTGTAGCATTATTTAAACCTGTATTACTATAAGAATCAAATAAATGACGCTGAGTATGATGCCATTCTTGTCTCGCCTAATTTATCCGATTTCGATGACCACATAAATATGGATCTGGAATCAGATACGCTGTTTGCAGAAACGTTGTCATTGTACAGACATTTTCGAAGAGATTTATTAGCAGGACTTGCCGAGGCAGTTCTTATGGAAGTTAGAAAAAGGAGCTGGAATTATAGAAGAGAGAGGTAAGAAATTAAATGTAGATTAAGTAAAAACTAAGATAGTTAAGGAATTTTTCCTTTGTCCGGTTTGAGTTTTATGAAATTAAATAATCATTTTATGTAAAAAAATATTTTTTCCCGTAATCGAATCATTTTGTCCTTGGTATTTATAATGATAAGTACGTTTTATTCGTAAGTTCTCTTTTTGCCATAATGTTATTCCATTTTTTCTTATATTCCACTTGATCAATAACAACTCAATCATCCATCAGCATTAGATAAATTGAAAATGCAAAAACATTCTAGATGGGCTTTCATGAAAGTTGGGAAGGAGTTTAGAAGTTTATCCCTAACGCCATCAGCTTGCCCAATGTTTGAGGTTTTATCGAAGAGATTACACCAATTGCAGAAAAAGCTCCAAAGCAAATTATTTATAGCAGGTAAAGTACGCCACTCCAGATTAATATAACATCTTTACACGTGTCTTAAAAAGTGTGGAAGCATGTAAAAATAATTGAAAGTGTTCTACTGTTTCAGTGTTTAGAAATATAGCAACCCAACTAGATACACACCTATTTGAAGATTTGGTTCTGGATAACAGATTCAATGATGGAGGAGCACTTCAGTTCAAATTTGATATAACAAGGAACTTACTACCTTTGTTTGCTCATTATACTGATATGCCGGCTACTTATTTTCCCCAGTAAGTACAATTTTCTATTCAACGTTTTCAAATTAATATAAGTGAATTGCATAGAAATAACATGTTTTTTAGAGTGAAAATTTATTAAATATACTATCTTTTAGATTATCAGAGTCGTACGTTCTTCTCAACTTAGCCAAAGGTTCAGCTCTCTTGCTTAGAGAAACATTGCTGGCATTGGATGGCACTACTGGAGTGGAAGATACTCGAGGTAAAATGTTGAAAGAAATTGGTGTCAACAATTTCAGCCCTAAAATGGCAATTAAGATACTAAATCAGCGAGTAGATATCACAATAAATCGAGTAAATGTTGATTAAATCACCTTTCCAATGTTTGGTCTTTGAAAGATTTCTAAAGTATACGGTTGCATTCTTAATTCATGAAACGTAGTAGCATTAGAACATTGTTTAGATAATAATTGTGATGGTTAAAATTCAAAATGGGTATGATACTTCTATGCTCTTTGACAGCATATTTTTATACTACATTTTATGGGGTTTATTATTTTTTTACTGTAAGTTATTAGGTCGATAATATATTAACCTGTTACTCTTGTTTAATATATCCCCATTATTTAAATATACACTCGACTTTATCAAGAAATAATTTATTATTCATATTGGTCAACATTTATACTAAGTTACATTTAATTCATTGCTCCAGAAATTTATGAAGCAAATTTCTATCATCCATTATCTTGACCACATTAATGGAATCTTCAAGGTCCTGTAAGCTTCGATTTAGTGCTTCTATTTGAATCTTAGTGTCCGCACGAAAATTCTTTGGCGATCTTAACATCTTTTCAGCTTTGTCCATGATGCGGAGTAGTTCATCTTGATCAATCATCTCGTCAATGCTATGCCTCCTTTTTAATGCAGATCTCTTCATATTAGTCTCATCTTCCAGTTTGCCGGCGATTATTTTTTTGAAACCTTCTACTACAGGATTGTTTCTGTAGAACCACTCAGTCGAAGAAAATTCACTGAGTCCATTAACATCGTAAACCACTATTAAGGTTTCAAAATTATCGGATTCCATTTCGGGTGGTAATTTGAAAGTTTGCTCGTCAAGCTTTTTCCGGGCTATCACTTGAATGGCCTCGGTCCAAGTAACTTTTTCAAAGCCAAATTCTTCTGCACTTGCTTTCAGAATATGGAGCAGCCGGACGAGTGGATCTTTGGGATTTTTAAATACTTCAGTGCAGTATTTTGAAATGCTCACCAGCAAATCGGTATCATTTTCGGGTGGCCACTTTTCAATAAATTTAGGTAGTTGTAAATTAGCAAGAATGGATTTCAACTGTTTCTCATAGGTTGGCGACGTCCAAAAACTTGGAAAATACCTAAAATTTAGTAGGTATGTGGTCAGCAAACAGATGTGAAGATTCGAAGAACATAATCGTTGGAGATTTTACACAGTGTGTATAAAGAATTACGTAATATTAATTTTTAATACTGACCTATAGTCACATGGTAAAAACGGAGGTATTTTACAGGGCAAATATTCCCTAAATATCTCAGGAAAAATGGGGTGTTCTTTGTTATTCGCATCCGTAATTATTCTGCTCAAACGCTCCAATCCTTCATTGTATAATCCAATTACTATATTTGGATCCCTCATGCAAAAATGATATTCATGGTTCCATTTGGCATAACTAGCTGCAACGTTACATAAAATGTCTTAAACAGATAATATATTAAAATAATTTCAAGTTCCTACCGGCTTTTTTCCACATTTCAGTACACAAGTGCCTTGTTAAAAAGTCATGGAACGTATCCAATTCTAAAGGTGGCATTTTTTGTACCCTTTTCGATAGAAAAATAAAACCGTTGTCAATAATGCTGGGCAAAACTTGTAAACTTGTATTCCAACTGAAATAAAAATACGACTTATTAATGAAACGACTCAAACCGTAAATACTGAAAAAGTAAAGAAAGTGAAATTTTCATATCTGCTTGATTATATCAATTAGTTTAATTTTTAACATTCATAAACTCGTACCTGTATATAACGAAATCCGAAACCACCCCAGTTTTTTTGAGATTCCGAAGATATTCTTCTGAATTCGTAGTGTCTTCCAGAATAAGAACAATGGGTAGATTCACATATACACCAACATTTTTTAAAATTTGAAACACTCTTCTTTGCATTATATCGTTAAAATTCTTCGCAATGAACACAAAGCCATTGGCATCGCTGCTATTTACATCCAGCCCTTGTTGCTTTTCTACACAATACGTTACCGTTTTGTGGTTTTCAATATAAATGGTATTTCCATATTTGTCCAATTGCCAATTTACGTATGCCTTCAGAGTTTCTTCTAATTTATTGAGACCTGTTAACATTTCATCGATACCTAAAACATGAAATCAACGCTTTATTAAATCATATATAATACGTTTTTCTGTAACTTACCAGGAAGAGATATCACAACTTTCCAATAAATACGCTGGTGCCATTTCTCTTTTAATTCACACAGTCTTCTCCTGAGTGATGAGTATGTGAGATTAAACAATTTCAGTTGTCCAATCGGTTGCTTTCTCGTTAAAAGTATAGGCGATGCTTGTCCACTTTTGTATCTACAGAAGGTTTAAATAAAATATACAGGGTGATTCACATTCTTGTGGACACAGAGCAGAGGTCCTCAAAATAAGTCGAGTTGCCATTTAAGCTTTTTTCTCAGGTCGATGGTTAACAGGGTGTTAAAGTTTTTAAAAAATATTGTTATTGTCTCTATAACTCCTACAGTTTATCATAGACTTACAGAACGTACCAATATTTTTTTAAAACTTTAACACCCTGTATCTCGTTAACCATGAGTCTGACCTGAGAAAAAAACTCAGATGGAAACTCGAGTTGTTTTGAGGTCCGCTACGCGCTCCTGCTCTGTGTCCATAAGGTTGTGCATCACTCTGTATATTGGATTCGGTACGCCCAGCAAATAGTACGTTTTTATATACAGGGTTGCTCATTAGTGCGTCAAAGTGCGATATCTCAGTAAATATGAACTTCACAAG